TGTGATGTTAATTCGGCTGACTATAAAATAGTAATGGAATCCAAGCTCAGAATTTTGAATAGTTCATTATGAGTCAGGTCACAACATAGGGGACTTTACAAACAAAAAAAATATTGACATAGCGGGACAATATTTATTTTATAGAATATATTTTTCTGGTAGTTGTAATTTTGTTACATAGTGTCATATAAAGTCACCACTTAATTTTTATTTAATTATTCAAATTTTATTATGCCACCTTATTTGGTAGTTATATTACACAATCTTCCTATATTTGAAATATGTCCACTTTCAAATATAAAAAAAACCAATAAATTTTTGTAAAATTGATTTTTAAGATTATAATAATTATAAGTAAAATCATCTTGGATTGCGTAAAAGTATTTGAAAATATTGATTCTAAGTGGCAACTAGCTACTATTTAAAAACAATTTGATTGTCATTTTGTTAATTACTGTAAGGAAAAATCTTAAGAAGACACAACATAGACAAAGCTACAATGACCAAAATCAATGTCCCTTTGTTTTTAGTTTTTTTCCTTTTTGGTGTTGTATATGGTTATGAGACAAAGTTCGAACCAAATGGTCGTAAGCAAACCATCAATTGGTGCATTTCCCAAGCAAATGCTCCTCAAGAAAAGTTGCACGGATTTATTGACTATGGTTGTGGAGTTGTTGTTGTTCAGCCATTCAACTAGGCGGTCCTTGTTATGATCCCGACACCGTTGTGGGTCATGCAAGTTACGTTCTAGAACTGGTATACAGGAAACAAAATTCATGCAGTACGGATGTTTCATCATAACAACAGTCGATCATTCGTATGGAAGTTGCAAGTATCCATGATCTAAAAGAAGATTCAAGGATAAGCAAAAATTTGAATGAATAATAACACTAGTTTCGATAATTTATTGAAAATATGTACTTAATAAATATTTATTTCTTTGTTTGAAATTGTTGGAAAATACTAGATCTATTTATTGTCTTTGAATTTTCCTATCGAGAATATAATTAGCGCAACTAAAACAACCGAACCGAATGCCAATTTATCAATCTATAATCATATTATAAGATAAAGTAATTCATCACTTAACAAAGATTAATTTTATATTTTCTCTTTTCGGGTAGTAAAATTTAGAGAACTATTTTAGAGCAACTATTGAGGATTTTCAGAGAGAGCAGTTGTAACAATATAGGTATATAATATAGGGAATAGGTATTTATTGCATTCTACAATATCATTAATAGTGTAATTGCCACAACAGTCACGTGTGATCAAAATTTAGTGACAAATAGATTACATAGAGCTCTTTTATGACCCGCCCTCGTGGTGTAAATTTTCTTTGCGTTTTTCTAGGCGAAACTAGAAAAGTATATATATTCTTTTGGCTAAACATTTCGAGTCATTGAAAAGATAATCTCCG